ATTTCAAAATGGAGGCGGAGATGGTGTAGTGAGTGGGGCGCCCTCCATTCGCGCGGTCCCGGGTTCGAATCCCGGGTCGACTCCCGCCCAGGCCAACCAAGCCTTCTACCCTCCGGGGACGGTAAATTGGTACCAGATTCGTCTGGGAGGATAAAACACTGACTTGTACATCGGCTGGTCATAGGCCACATCGCATTCAATAAGCCACTACGATTCTGAATGGAAGTAGAATGCGTGCCGCATCCCACAAAGGGATTGATCAACGGCGAAGACTTTATCCTTTATCCTTTATTACGATTCATTCCATTTTGGGGAAGGGCGAGTAGCCCCTCAGGCACAGTCATTCTCAACCCACTCTTCGACCAAGGACCAACAGTGAAAATCAGTGTCGGGAATGGTTTCCCTGCACAGGCTAGGTCATACTGTTTTTGAAGAACTGACTGGCAGCAAAGTCCGAAAAGAACATGTACGGGTAGAATACCTCACATTGAAAACACTGCTCACGCTGATCGAAGATTTCGACTTTCGCTATTCCACGACGATTTCTCGCCCAAAAAGCCTTGGCAGGGTTCGGAAGGCAGCCGGATGGGTACCCTACCGACTGCCCATTACAAAACAAAACCGAAGGTGTCCGAACTTTCTCGCTGGCAAAGTGAGCGAATCGGCAAAAAAAATTCCCTGAGTAGTGGCTACTCCCCCATAGTAGCAAAGAGGAAAGCGGGTTTTTTCGTTGGATGTAACCACCAAAAGGAGTACCCAAGCGCGTTCATTGTAGGGAAGAATGTAGTGTGAGTGCTGTGGAGAAGAGGATCATGCCCGTTCAAATTCGCTGAGGTTGAAAAGCGACTGTGTTTCTCTTAACCTTCCTCTTACAGTGCTCCGAACCATAATGTGATGTATGCACTCATTTTCGTTCGCTACCAAGGTCTTATTATTGTGGTCCCGCTAGTGTGGTGTCTCTACTTATAAATACTTGGCACCTGCCTGGTTTCCTTGGCGTCTGCAGACTGAAGCGGGTCTGGGTACATAGATTCCTTTAGGCGATGCAAGCTTTCTCACGGCTCCCCTTTCGACAGTTCTGTGTCGGTCAGGTGTTTTCTTGAAGAGAAACTGATGGACGTTCGCGTTTTCTGGCCGCTTTTTATGATTCATCAGGCGTGTTGTCGATGACCGCATGTTTTGAGAAGAATATCGCGTTCACCACGAACGGGCGACAAAAGCGACACCAACAAAAGAGGAGCTTTTTCTATGGAATAATGGAAGTGATCTGACTGTTTACCACCACGCTGGTGCTATCACTCCTCCAATAAAATGAGCGTTCGGCCACTTAGTCAAAAGAGGTCTTATTCAGGTATATCGTGAAACTGTGGATAGGTTTTTTGCTCTTTTTCTAGTAGGTCCAACCATCACATGCCGACTTTCTCTCGCCATGGAAATCCCGTATCCATTTGAGATTTTGCACTTTTGTGTACATCTGTAGGTAAAAGACGAGCAGATGAGCGCCCACTTCAAAATTTCTCAACCGGTTTTTTTCACAATCTTTCAGTGGTGCAACTCGCGGTGTTTACTTTGTTAAATATCTGGTGTCCCCTAGGTTGCTGTCTTGTCACAACCGGAGATTAAGAAATTTTCTATTGTACACACCTTAATCCCTCAGAATACGGATTGCGTGCTTTTGAGCATGGCATAGCAAGGGTTACGCGTGGGATGCTTCAATTTGAAACATGCCATCTTGTTCTGTGTTAGATGTAGACATGATTACGACTGTTCCAAAATGAAAATATCTCACGAAAACCTGGCCGCCGCCACTTTAAAATTAAGTACGCAGCCACGCCTACCCGATCTCAGGGATTTCGAGTATAGCTGATGTCAAATTTCGCGCTGATCTGATAGATGGATCTGCCACTCATACTGAATTCCGAACAGTTGCCTTTCCTACTCACAATGCTCATATTTATATTTAGACTGAGAATAACTTAAATTGAAATTGTGATGGGTATGTGGTAAGACAATCTAATATGCCACGCTAGTGGGCGTGGCGAGCGACGTCGCGCCCTACGGACGAGTTGTCCTGCCTGGCCACTTTAATATGAGTGCTGGAAAGACAAATTCTGTATCGACCCCTCATGGAGTCGTGTCTTCTCTTGAATTCATTTGACTTCTGCTGCTCTAATCGACAAACGTATGCATACGAAAACTTACCGAACATCAACATACGCGCGCGCGATACGCGACAAACTACGATTTTCTTGAACCTCTCGCTACTTTGGTAACGCATGAAATGAGATTCTTTCCACGTACAAGATGGGATTGTGCGCAATCGTAAAAGTGTACTACTTTCGCCCTCGAAAGTGTCTGGCAAGAAAGCCAGAGGTTTATGATCGTTTTTATTACGATAACTGCTGCTTAACGCTGCATTTGCGCTCCGAGAGCTATCGCAAGAATTCTGAGTTATGGAGCGAAAGTCAGACCTCTGGTGGGACTTGAACCACCACCCCACATTCACCAGATTAGTGCCCTGATTCTTTAGTGCACGCGGCTTCATGATCGCCTTTGAAGACAAACTGTACACTCACCTCCACGGCTTCCAACCCCCCAGGTGAATGGGCCTGCAGCTGCAGTACCATTTCATTTTCTCCGCTTAAAACTGCATGGGAACGAGGCTGACGAGTAGCGATAGGTGATAAGACAATCTAATATGCCGCGTTGGTGTCTATGGCGAGCAACGCCGCGTAGGGCACATCGTTGTTGGGGAATCCCCAATAGGGGGTCGTATTTGGCCGCCAGGAGAGGGGGGTCGTATTTGGGCTGGGAAAAATTTATTTTGATAGTTGATTTTTCTCGCTTCACGGACGTTGTAAAGGGGGGGGGTCGTACTTGGTCATTGTTGGGAGGGGGGGGGTCGTATTTACGTTTTGGCGTTGTAGGAGCGGTGGTTGACTTTTTGTGATTTTCCTGTTTCATGCGTACTATATATTGCTCCAGGCATCCCGTCAGATGCAGGAGAAACATGAGTGAATGATACTTGTTCTACGGTCACTTCTTTTATGTTTGCCTTTTTTCCAGGTTCGATTGGATACAAGGCAGCAATTCATCACCACGTTGCTGTTCACCATTCTTCTCTTTCTGTTGCCCACTGTCGTCGTCTATTTTGTCGTTTTCAAAACGGTACCCTTTTCGCTCAGCTTCTCATTTTGCTGCTCCTGCAGCTGCTTAATTACTCTTTTGTT